ATAACTCGGACTTCATACTAATGCAGTTATTGCAGTTATGTCCCAAATCCACGCTGACACGCTGATGTACTTATTTCACAAAATCCCATGTGCCCTCAACTTTTCTCCTAATACAGACAAATGGGAAATGACGTGGAGAAAATAGTCAAATGGCATTCTGTTTGGGTAGGTCACTGAGATAGCTGGAAATTCAAATGCCCTGCCCAGACACCTCAGCCTACAGACTCAGGACTGCTCCATGGCTTCCTTTGCCAATAGCTACCCAGCCAATTCATAAATGGAGCATCTGGTTCATTTGTGGAATTCTTGCTGCTGGTGTGGATAGCACGAAGCATAAGGGTGGACGGTGGAGCACTGAGGGAGAGCTGTCAGAGAAGAAAAAATCGCCCAAGAAATGACTGAGACTCCGGGATTGGTTGGGTATTGCTATGCAATGTGTTGTAAATCTGAACATCGCAGATTGTAGCCCCACATGGGAGGTTTATGCTTCTCAAATGCCGTCAGGACAGTTTGATTCCCTTGCTCCTGGTGAGGAGGACCTTTCCCCCGAGAATGGGACAATCCTCTGGCTTCCCTTAGTCATCAACTGGATCTGATCGATTGGAAGAGAAGCAGGGCGAGCTTAGCAAGCAGGCCTCATTAGCATAGGGTTTTCACCTCCTAGAAAACCAGTCTGGGTCACAGAGATGCCCCATCACAAAGTACAGTAGGAATGTAAATTAATAATAACTCTTCCAGTGGCGCAGAGCAGCTTGCAGATTACCCCTCGCCTGTCTGTCCTACATGGTGGTGTTGTTTTGAACTTTGTTTGTGCCCTGGAGTTATTTCAGAGATGGTATCTCTCATCCTAAGGTGCTGCAGGTACCTCTTTAGGGTTTTCCCTTCACTGTTTATCTGTGTCCATTCTATTAAAGAATGTGTACACTTCCCTTTGAGGCTGGCGCTTTCCTTGTCTCGTGCTGCTGCTGGAACAGAAATAACCCAGGTGGGGAGCCTGGACAAACCATGGACTCTCTCAGTGTGGTCTGGCAGTATGAGCTTCAGCTCTCAGCTCTAGGAGTTTCTGTTGGCTCTGGTGGAAGACCATGGTCATCCATCTTCTCCCTGGGTCTAAGAGTTCCTGAGCACAGGGACCCCAGATCCAAAGATGTTGCTAACATCTCAGTGACCAACATTG